ATAGTGGTTGACCTCGATTGTGGTTGTGTGGAAGCTTGTCTTTTTAAGGGACTTTCTAAAGGAATGCTCGCATTTGTTTTTCATGGAGGCCAGAGCCCTCCCCACTCATATCATTAAAAAGGAAGCTGATGAAAAATGAAACGGTAGCCCTCGACTCATGCTCGCGACCACAATTTCGCCTTCCTGTTTACGGCCTGAAACTTCCTAACTCTGTTGCTCGGTCATACCCACACACGCATACACACACAAACTCTCCTTTACTCTCTCTTGTGCGCTCTCTCTCTCCCTCCTTCTCCCTCCTTCTCACATACAGAAATGCCAAATGGAGGGCTATAAAATCTGTAACACTCATTGAAAGTAGGCTGTAAAACACCCTGAAAGCTTAACATTTATTATTTTGGAGGTAATGTTGATGTTAAATGCAGATGAGCAGGAAAGAACCAAATAAGTATTTGATAAGAAAAAATAAGCATACGTATTTGATTTTCGATTAATTTACAACGTGTTTTCTAATAAAGGTTAAGGTCTGGCAAATAACCAAAAGCCGGTCCCGAAAATCAATGTCCAACATATTGTATTACAAATACAGACATCCTTTTATTTATTTCTTATTTTAGTACTGTCTGTAATGAAATAATATGCAATTTAGAGGATAGTTCAAATAGCTAAATATTACTCGTATTAATATCCATTGAATAATTAAATGATTAAAGATTATGAAATAATATTAGGTGACGGTTTTGAGTTTTAAAATCATAGTGTTAACTACAGCGTTTTGCGTTATTCGAGCCTAGTAAAGTTACACGCACTAACTGTAGTCACGGTAAAGTTTGGTGGGATTTACAGTACATTCAATAAATAGCAGCAGTCAAGTCTTAGTTTCTCTGTTGGTACAGATTTAAAAAAAAATAGCGAGCGGTCATTCCCGCTGCATTGAGTGAAATATAATGATATACAGATTCAAACTGTATTGGGTTGAACTCGAACTGACCTGAGGCGACAAAAGTGCTCTGACAGAACAATTAAACATATTTATTCAGAAAGTATAATTTTACTGTAGGATTTTCTATATTATCATAGCTATTTGTCTGTGATAAACACATAGTTAGATCATAGTCTAATCAAATACTTTGCTCCAGTTGCCCATTTAAGAAAGTACAACAACTTTGTGTTCATTACGCGCTTCCTCCCTGAAAAATACAGGGGCGGGGAAGGAACAAAGCTTTGCTTGTAGAACCTTAGGGAGGCATGTTGTCATATTGTTGTCTGCGTGTGTGTGTGTGTGTGTGTGTGTGTGTGTGTGTGTGTGAAAAAGAGAGAGATCCAGGGAGATGGTTTTCACATATTTCACAAACATTATTCGCAATAATGTATAATCGCAATATAATTAACGATTGTAAAAATAAAAAAGTCAAGACTTTTCGAGAAAAAAACAAACAGCTTTTTAATATAAATAAAACTTAAATCCAAACACACACTTAAGCACAAACACATATATAGATAGATAAATATAGATATATAGATAGTTATAGATATAGATAGATATTTACACGATTAATTAGACCCAAGTTTCATTGGGAAAAACTTTTTAAAGACGTCTTTTTTAAATAAATAAACAAATAAACAAATAAAAATAAGATGACCAAAGATAATTTATTAATTCTATTAGTAATGTACTGGTGAACCCTTGTGATAACGCGTTAGCATATGACACAGCTAATATAACAACCTATTCTTGCACTCAGAGAAACAAAATGATTGACACTTCTACTTGAAACATACCCCTCCTTTCCTTCCCACATCTTCCTAGATCAAATCACCGGCCAGTGCAGCCTTAAATTGAACTTACTTTGACTCTGCACGGTCCACTATCCATATTTCCGCCTCCAAGTGAGTAGAACCGGAGAGACATTGCACCAACTAGACACTGGCACTGTAGTGGCCTACTGGTACGCTCTTCCTCTCACAACTGACCCTTTAGAATCCCCTCGAAGCAGTTAAACCGTCACTTGCATTCTAGAATGTGAAATATATAGTACATTGTCAACTCCCCAAAACCATAAAACTAACTTTATGGACCCCACGTGACTTTTGAGAGCCAGTAAGGGGTATCTGTCTGTGGCCTGGGCGATTTTTACGATCTAACTTCAAGATAAAACGCTCATCCGTTTGACATGTAAATGTCATAGCTAGTTTTGTATAGTTTGGGCAAAGGGAAAAGCAAAATTACAAAAGGCAAGTGGTCGTTGGTACACTGCGGGGATTTCTGCTCGGCTCTCAAAACTTAGTGGTAGAAGAAGAGTTTGGCACGCATGGTAAGTTTAAAGGTTCAGTGCTTGTTTACTAGGACGCAGAAATGCAAGGGTATACGTAGTAGAGCGTTTGTAAATTATATAAACATTCTGGAAAATGTGTGTTGTTTAGAATTAGCTGGACTATAAACGTCTAAATTCTATACACGCCAGGTTTTGGTGAATATTTCTCCCAATGTCTGTTTTCGCTTAATAGTAAGGACATTTTAGCATTTTGCTATTAGTGTCCTAGTTGAGTGTGAACTGTCAGTGTAGGACAAGGATCTGCACATGGCGTAGCAAAACGTTTCTCAGTAATTTAAAGGACCGTACTGCATTTTGAGTTTCAGAGAATATTATGAGTGTGCAATCGAAAACTGTCAACCATTGACAAGAATTAGTTGTCTCGATTCTGTGTAAAATGAAGAATTGTCAAGAAATGTATTAGGTTTGAATATGAGGAACTTTATTTTTTTACTCCAAGTTAAACTACAAACAAATACAAAAAGCTTTTTGGCAAAATGCTAACAGGCAGTTCGACATGACATTGCTTCTTTTTTCCCCCACACGTTTGCCGTTCATTCTGCCTACTACAAATAGCCAACTGATCACAATAAAAATTTTCAATATGTACATCCTTTTTTTAACATAAACATGATCCAGTAATATACAATTACATATTTGAAATACAACTATACACACGTATGAACGGGTACAAGAATGAAGACTATTTACACATTTCCTTTTTTTCTCTCTCTCTCAAAAATAATAGAAGAGTTTGAACACATGACTAATTTATGTGTGTGTGAAAAAGAGAGAGATCCAGGGAGATGGTTTTCACATATTTCACAAACATTATTCGCAATAATGTATAATCGCAATATAATTAACGATTGTAAAAATAAAAAAGTCAAGACTTTTCGAGAAAAAAACAAACAGCTTTTTAATATAAATAAAACTTAAATCCAAACACACACTTAAGCACAAACACATATATAGATAGATAAATATAGATATATAGATAGTTATAGATATAGATAGATATTTACACGATTAATTAGACCCAAGTTTCATTGGGAAAAACTTTTTAAAGACGTCTTTTTTAAATAAATAAACAAATAAACAAATAAAAATAAGATGACCAAAGATAATTTATTAAATCTATTAGTAATGTACTGGTGAACCCTTGTGATAACGCGTTAGCATATGACACAGCTAATATAACAACCTATTCTTGCACTCAGAGAAACAAAATGATTGACACTTCTACTTGAAACATACCCCTCCTTTCCTTCCCACATCTTCCTAGATCAAATCACCGGCCAGTGCAGCCTTAAATTGAACTTACTTTGACTCTGCACGGTCCACTATCCATATTTCCGCCTCCAAGTGAGTAGAACCGGAGAGACATTGCACCGACTAGACACTGGCACTGTAGTGGCCTACTGGTACGCTCTTCCTCTCACAACTGACCCTTTAGAATCCCCTCGAAGCAGTTAAACCGTCACTTGCATTCTAGAATGTGAAATATATAGTACATTGTCAACTCCCCAAAACCATAAAACTAACTTTATGGACCCCACGTGACTTTTGAGAGCCAGTAAGGGGTATCTGTCTGTGGCCTGGGCGATTTTTACGACCTAACTTCAAGATAAAACGCTCATCCGTTTGACATGTAAATGTCATAGCTACTTTTTGTATAGTTTGGGCAAAGGGAAAAGCAAAATTACAAAAGGCAAGTGGTCGTTGGTACACTGCGGGGATTTCTGCTCGGCTCTCAAAACTTAGAGGTTGAAGAAGAGTTTGGCACGCATGGTAAGTTTAAAGGTTCAGTGCTTGTTTACTAGGACGCAGAAATGCAAGGGTATACGTAGTAGAGCGTTTGTAAATTATATAAACATTCTGGAAAATGTGTGTTGTTTCGAATTAGCTGGACTATAAACGTCTAAATTCTATACACGCCAGGTTTTGGTGAATATTTCTCCCAATGTCTGTTTTCGCTTAATAGTAAGGACATTTTAGCATTTTGCTATTAGTGTCCAAGTTGAGTGTGAACTGTCAGTGTAGGACAAGGATCTGCACATGGCGTAGCAAAACGTTTCTCAGTAATTTAAAGGACCGTACTGCATTTTGAGTTTCAGAGAATATTATGAGTGTGCAATCGAAAACTGTCAACCATTGACAAGAATTAGTTGTCTCGATTCTGTGTAAAATGAAGAATTGTCAAGAAATGTATTAGGTTTGAATATGAGGAACTTTATTTTTTTACTCCAAGTTAAACTACAAACAAATCCATTTCAACAACAGTTTCCAACAACTTTTTTGCTATAGATACACATGAGTGACGCGATTTACAACTGAATGCGTACAGGGAAATCGCCAAATGGTACACTGCAGAGCGCCTCACTCTAGGCTCATGTCGTTTGTTTTTTGTTTCGTTTTACTCCTTAAAACCTCAATATTTTATAGATGTCATACAGCACCAAACATTCGTAATTATTATACATATTCAATTTTTTCCGCCGCTTGTTCAGCCTATCCATCCCACTTTTCTCGCCTTTTATCCCGTGTTCTTTCTCTCTGTTTTATAACCGGTTCTCCAACACTAAACTAATCACATTCCCACACACCATAAAGCTGAACTTTTCACAGAAACAAGAACTTGTAAACCTTCCTGCCCTCTCTTCCACCCCGCTCCCATTCTCTCTTCTACAGTTTGCGAGGCTCCACACTTGATAGATTTATGGCACTTTCACAGAAATCTAAAATAAAGGCTGTTACAGAACTGAACACAATACGCATTCGCTAGCAAACAAAGAGACGTAAACATAATACGTGTGTACCATGGCTAATATGTAGTTTCCTCATCCAAGGGAATATTTGGGGAGCTTGGCCATCGGACGTCGCCGAGGTAGTGGAGGTTGCCGTGGTCTCTTGCTTCTGTTGTGTCCGGGGTGCAGAGTTGTTCGCTCTGTGCGACGCCTCCTCGGTCTCAGAAGAAGCGCTGGCCTCGTCGATTTCTGTGAAATGTGTGTTGTTGGTTAGATTATTACCCGCAGTGGTGGTGCTTTGGTCGGAAAGGGGCGAAGAGCATTTGGGTCCAAGGCTTTCGCTGTTGGAACAAGGCAGTGGCTCCGGAGACGCGAGCGAGCAGCTTGACTGCTGTCGGAATCGCGTCTCCGGGGCTTGCGACTGGAAGACCCGGGAGTTGTCCCCAACCGCCCCAAAGTGGCCAGTGCTGGTTGAACGATTGACGCTTAGGTCCATTCCATTGTAGTTGTAGCCGTAAGAGCCTGAATGCATGGTGCCGGAGTCCCTGTACGAGGCGTTCATAGCGCTGCTGCTAGTTCCATAATTTAGTAACTGATAGTCAGGGCCATTTGGGTAGCGCCCTGAGAACGAGTTTACAAAGTAAGAGCTCATTTAGGTTGTTTTAGAGGGCTTGATTTGTAGATCTTGGTCGTTATAACGCTGTGCTTCACGATTTATGATGTATTAATGAATTATAGCAATGCACTGTACTTCGTTTTTGCTATGTATGCGGCCAAATATGGGGGTGGGGGTGCGTTTGAGAATCACGTGCTTTTGTTGACCAGTCGTAAATTCTCACTGATGACTTCAAGAGGTAATTCATGCTCTATGGTTACAAATGATGACGAGACGGGGAGTCGTTAGACTCGAGTCAACGTGTTCCTCCCTCTTCGGGGATTTGCTGCATGTAAGCGGACAGCGTCACCTACTGGG